TTAAAAGCACTGATCAGATGCTTCTAAATGATCCATCAGGTACAGAGAGCATTAAATAAACTGAAAAAAGCTTTCTAAAGGCATTTCCTAGGCTGATAGCCACACTAAACAAAATTACAAAATTAACTGGCATTCTACCACATTTTTCATTCCCTCCACTAATGTCCTGTTCTACTTTCCCACCCCAAATACTTATAAATAAATCTCATTAATCTTTGCATTATTTAACTAGTAGCTAATTAATAACAGAAATGTGAGTTAATGCTACCAGTGGCATTTGCATCAATTATTTGAATACTAAATAAACTTTCCATCAGCCTCAATGGCAGGACTTCTCAACCTTGGCTGCACATTAGAATTACCTAGGGAGTTTTTGAAAAATCTGATGCCCAGGCCACACTCTTGACAAATTAAATCAGAACTTCTGGGGGGCGGGCCCAATCATCAGAATTTTTCAGTTCTCCAGGTGATTCCAATGTACGACCAAAGTTAAGAACCAATGACTTCAGGTAAAGCATTTGAAAAAATAAAACTTTGAACTAGTGAAGGAGATTTTTTTTTAATGGGGATTTATCATGTTTTTCTATGAATGTTGCCAACTGGTGGAAAGGCTCTGTTCAAGGTAAAGGACCATCTTTATTAAGAGAGAATGCTACATCTAAAAAAATCACTAGACAATTTCTAAGTCTTGATTTCAGGAAGTTATTTCACTTGGGTTTTATCTACAAAATAGGAATAATAATAGCAATGCCTAGGCTCATGGCGCTGTTGATGATGATCAAATGTAATAGGGTAGCAGAAAATGTTTTATAAACTATAACATTTTATTTATTATTACATAGCTGAGCAGAACCATTTATCATTAAAAAGACTAGTTGTAATGTAGATTACAACTGCAATATGGATTATTACCTAAATGATTAGCCACTTTGCTTTAATAGGCATTTACTTTATGAAATCTAAGGGTGTAGCCCAGTGTTTCTCATTAAGTATGGTTCCTGAGCCACTAGCACCAGCATCACCTGGACACCTTTCAAAAGTGCAAATTTTTGGGGTCTATCCCACACCTACTGAATCCAAAATTGGAGGCAGAACCTAGCAATCTTATTTGAATAAGACATCCAGGTAATTCTGATGTTAAAATCTGAGGACCATACATCCAACCAAAGCGAGTAAAAAGTGAGTATGTATGACTAATATCAAAGGAAAAATACAAAGTATTTGTTATTTGAAACTTTAAAAGTTGCAGTGCAAAGACACAGTGGCCTAAATTACTACTTTAAAAAAATTCCTAAAGCTTTGTATTCAAAAATAATATAATTCTCTTTACCCAGCTGAGCTTTATCAGTTAACACATTAATCATGAATACAATGGTAGTATATAAATTTGGGAATCAGATAAATCACAGAGCATATAACACTCTGGATAAGGAATAAAGAAACAAAACTCTAGTAGGAGTTAACAGTAGTTCAGAAAATAGTCAAGTTTTAATTCAGTGGGCCTGAGTGTCTCTCAGAGGAAGAATCACAACTGTATCTTAAAAATCACATTTATCCTGAAGACAACACCCCACAGCATCTCAATGTTCTTATTCAGGCTAAGGAAGTGTTTCATCACTTACTCAGAGAAAAGACCATTACTTAGACTGAATCACCAGCAATATTTCCTGCAGCATGAGATTTGTCATTAGGTCTGCTAAGCAACAGAAAAACAATCTCAAAACTTCTTATCTTAAAAGATATCTTAAGAGAAAGCTATCAACATTGCTCCCAAACCCAAAGTTTGTTATTTGCCACTAATAAAACATATGCAGGAGAGTAATAGGTGAGATCACTGAAGAGTCTTGTGAGATTGCAACAGAAAGTTCTTTGAGATCTTTCTTGTTTTCTGTTTTTCCATTTTAAAAAAATTTGGTGTCCTCAAGACACCTAGCATCATCCTGGAAAGAGGAGAGTGAAATATCCCAATTAAGAACTGACTTTATCCCTTGGGGCACCTGGGTGGCTCAGTAGTTAAGTGTCTGCCTTGGGCTCCGGTCATGATCCCGGGGTCCTGGGATCGAGCCCCATATGTTGGGTTCCCTGCTCAGTGGGAACCTGCTTCTCCCTCTCCCATGCCCCTTGCTTGTGTTCCCTCTCCTACTGTCTCTCTCTCTCTGTGTCAAATAAATAAAGTCTTAAAAAAAAAAAAAGAACTGACTTTATCCCAACTAAAAACTGCCCCATCTCCCAAGAAAATGAACAATTCTCAACACTTATTTCCTATACTGGAAAAAGCTAGCACAAGTAAATAATTGCCAAAATAATTGATTCCTTTTGCTCATCCATTCATCTCTAAATATTTATTGAGTACCTAGTATATTCCAGATATTGTTCTAGGTGCAAAGTGAATCTAGAGAGGATGCACAGACATCAGTGAGGAGGGCATAGATTTTATGTCTCCAGGTTTGTTTCTCTGTCAACCAAATCATTAGTACTCAAACTTGAGCGAGCATCACAATCACCTGGAAGGCTATTTAAAACAGACTGTTGAGGCCCGCCCAGAGTTTCTATTCAGTAGATCTGAGATGGGGCCCCCCCAAAGTAGCATTTCTAATAAATTCTCAGGTGATGCTGATGCTGCTGGTACAGTGGCTGCACTTTGAGAACCACTTACCAAGCCAGCCAAATGGCAGCTCTTCACACTATCCCAGCCGACTTCCAAGCACTGTACATCTCTCTTCCAAAGAAGGCAATGGCCTCAAGACTGCCTCATGCCTGCTGTCATAAGCACGCACAACTGAGCAGGATTCCAGTTTCAAGAACCACCTCAAATATCTACGATCAGTAGGCTCCAGAACAGAGGGGAAAAAGTACAAATAACAGAGAAATTTCTCCTTCCAGAGGATTTTCTCCCTCCTTGTTCTTCTCTTTGTTTTATCCCCTACCACAGGAAATCATTTTTGTATTATGATTTCCCAATGAGAGTGTTATAGAAAAGAATAACACTCCTTTAGAGTTTACATATATCTTTACTATAATCACAGCTTTTCTTCTAAGTTCAGTTCTCAGGGCCTAACACCGCCCTATTTGTCGGACTATCTCCTTTTTGAACAAAAGAATCATAGGGTTAGAAGGAACACTGAGAATTCACTTAATCCCTCCTTGGCCTCAGACAAGACTGTGTCTAAACCATCCCCAAATATAGCAATTTTCAGTACAAAGACGAACAGGCACTAAGAATTTCTCATTCAACATTCTGTCACAGACTTGAAGATACTAATACACTTTCCCTCAGCCTTCTCTTCTCCAAGCTAATCATCCTCAACATATAGACTTTCCTCATTAGATTTCCTAAACTTTATTTTGACTCTTCCTTAATAACTTTATCCTACCTTATACTTCAGGGCCTGAATTATATATGTACAGTTATCATGAAGACTTTTTTGTTTTGTTTTTTTTTTGGTATGTGAAAGGGATAAGTTAATTTATAGCTTGAACAAAAATGAATTTATTGGAACAAAGAAAGATATATGTATAAATGCCACCAAAATATAATACGGTGGCATTCACTTGAACAATTAATTTCAAATATCCTTTATTTTATTAAAATATATAATAATGCCTTATAGTTTTTAAAACTTTACATTATAAATCACTAGCCATATCACACATAAAACGGAGGAATTAGAGATCTTTTAAAATATGCCACAAATTATATATAACCATGTTTCATGACACCTCACACAGGAGAAGACATTATTATTATTATTAATTTGCTTTTTTGATGTTTTATATCGTGTTTACTACTAAAGTTGAAGTTATAGCTAATCAATGATTTATTTCTGAATGAGTCTAAAAATACTGAATATATTATATAATAATCAGTTCTGTGAAAATAATTCCTCCTCAAGGAGGAGCCTCAAGTATCAGAGGTGTTTAGAAATTCAATGAGTACAAGACAAGATAGGGTAAAGGTCATGTCCAATGACGTGTTTCTGAGCAGTTTAGAAAGGGAAAATAGGTAATACATTGGAAATGGGAGTAAAATGGGATGATTCACTTTATTTCTATTTCTCCCGTTCTAAATAGCACTATTCAAAATCAATCTTTGCTTTTGGAATGGTGAGGTCCTCTAGCTCAGCCTAGGCCTGAGGGATAGGGTTGCTTCCTTGCCTATTGGGACCAAGGTGTACGGTGGAGGCGATGCATTTAGTCTCCAGAGAGAAGGAAGATGCTGCTTGCACAGCACTTCTACTCACCAGTCCATGCAGCAGCAAGGGTGTTGGCTTTGAAGGAAGCCAACTGTCCTGCTCTCCCAGCCAGAGGTAAAGAATTGCATTGGTGGCCACTAGAGGGAGGAGGATTAGGAATAGAGTAAATTGTGGGGAAAAGGCACCCATGAAAAACGCACATGGGACAACCAACACATCACCAACCACCGCCTAGCAGCTACCTCTCTGAGGGACTATAATGGGGTCAGCATACACCATTAACCCGGAGACCCAGACACCAGGAATTATCGTAGTATCCCAGCATACAGCCCCTTAACTGTGATGGCTGGAGAAGGGAGTTTGAATAGGTTTGTGGGAAACACACAACCACACAAACACAAACACGCAAGCACACAGACATACATTCTCATCCCCCATTACAAGAAGTTGCATCTGTGCCGTCTGATTCTTGCTCATTTTCTGATTTAAAACTCTTGATGTTCTTTACCAAGAATGTGTTCACGAAAAGCAAACAGCCCACCTTCAAGATAGTCTTGGGAGAAGCACCAGCAGAGACACTCATTGTGCCAAGATGTATTTTACCAACAAATCTGTACAAATTACATGAGGTTAAAAACAAACGGAATATAATATAATTAAAGCAAAGTTTCTTTTGCTAAATTACAGCTTGAAGCAAACCTGCAAGAAATGTTTCCAATTAGCTTCTTTAGCAAACACAAAGCATAGCTCAGAATATGTTTTGCTTTCCATCTGCCCTCTGGGTGGGCTGCCTAGTGGGTGTCTTACCTCCAGCACAAGTAGCTGAGCATTCTGACCAAGGCTGATGATTCCACGTAAAGCCAACTTCATTGTCTCCACTGCCAGTCCGAGTGATGGGAACGTTGAATTTATACCTAATTCCCAAATTCTGTTCCTGAAGCAGAACCTGCCATTGAAAACAACTGGTGAAGATAATTAAAATACAATGAGGCTTCATTCAGATACTTTTTATTTCTTTTGAAGAAGAAATGTCATAAAGTAAGTCTTACAGGAAATTTGAGATAACTTGTAGAACACATGCACTTACACTGAATTTTCTCCTTCCATTTTCATGGGTAATTTAGAACCATTTCTCTCACATGCCTTGTTTGGTTACAAAAATATTACTTAAGCAGGCATTGAAAAGATCAAGCCATATGGAAGGAGCAATATGGCCTTAAGCTTACACAAATTTGATACCCTTGGATAAACCATTTTAGGTTCATTAACCTTGATTTCACCACCTGTAAAAGAGAGATAATAAAGCCTGCCCCTCTGTATCTCACAGGGCAGATTACAAATGGTAGAAGTTAAGTGGCAAAGATACATTTACCATGACAATGAGATTTTCCGAGGTGGGACCTAGAGCTTCCAAAGATTCTGGTTCATCAGTTGGTCTCTTGTAGTGAAAAGCTGTCCCAGCAACATCAAACTTCCGAGGCCAGTCAATAGTCCAGGCACCATTAATATAGTAATCATCCCCTTCAGATTTCAAAGCTAAAAAAAAAAAAAAAATCACAGTCTACCTAAAAATGTGAAACTTTATTTACCACAATGACATTTATTAACCACACTGGAGTATACAATGAATATCCATTCCATTTTCACTTAGAGATGGGATTCCTGACCACTTGCTTAAATACAAATTAACATGGTCATTTTCCATGTGAATGTCAAGAAGATATTAAGTATTGGGGGCGGAAAGGATGGCGGAGGAGTAGGAGACCTGGATTTCATCTGGTCTCAGGAATTCAGCTGAATAGGGATCAAACCATTCTGAACACCTACGAACTCAACAGGAGATCGAAGAAGAGAGTAGCAACAACTCTCTGAACAGAGAAGCGACCACTTACTGGAAGGACAAAATGACAAGATGAAAAAAATCACCTCAGCAAAAAGAACAAGTAGTACCGTCTGCCAGGGACCTAATCAATACGGACATTAGTATGATGTTGGACCTAGAGTTCAGAATCATGACTTTAAAGATACTAGCTGGGCTTGAAAAAAGCGTGGAAGTTATTAGAGAAACCCTTTCTGGAGATATAAAAGAACTAAAATCTAACCAAGTCGAAATCAAAAAGGCTATTGATGAGGTGCAATCAAAAATACAGGCACTAACTGCTAGGATAAATGAGGCAGAAGAGAGAATCAGCGATATAGAAGACCAAATGATGGAAAATACGCTGAGAAGAAGACAGATAAACAACTACAGGATCACGAGGGCAGAATTCGAGAGATAAGCGATACGATAAGATGAAACAATATTAGAATAATTGGGATCCCAGAAGAAGAAGAAAGAGAGAGAGGGGCAGAAGGTATATTGGAGCAAATTATAGCAGAGAACTTCCCTAATGTGGGGAAGGAAACAGGCATCAAAATCCAGGAGGCACAGAGAACCCCTCTCAGAATCAATAAAAATAGGTCAACACCCTGACATCTAATAGTAAAACTTACGAGTCTCAGAGACAAAGAGAAAATCTTGAAAGCAGCTCGGGAGAAGAGATATGTAATCTACAATGGCAGAAACATTAGATTGGCAACAGACCTATCCACGGAGACCTGGCAGGCCAGAAAGGACTGGCATGATATCTTCAGAGCACTAAACGAGAAAAATATGCAGCCAAGAATACTATATCCAGCAAGGCTGTCATTGAAAATAGAAGGGGAGGTAAAAAGCTTCCAGGACAAACAAAAACTAAAGGAATTTGCAAACACAAAACCAGCCCTAAAAGAAATATTGAAAGGGGTCCTCTAAGCAAAGAGAGAGACTAAAAGCAGCATAGATCAGAAAGGAACACAGACAATATACAGTCACAGTCACCTTACAGGCAATACAGTGGCACTAAATTCATATCTTTCAATAGTTACCCTGAATGTAAATGGGCTAAATGCCCCAATAAAAAGACACAGGCTATCAGATTGGATTAAAAAACAAGACCCATCGATATGCTGTGTGCAAGAGACTCATTTTAGACCCAAAGACACCTCCAGATTGAAAGTGAAGGGGTGGAAAACCATTTACCATGCTAATGGACACCAAAAGAAAGCTGGGTGGCAATTCTTATATCAGACAAATTAGATTTTAAAACAAAGACTGTAATAAGAGATGAAGAAGGACACTATACCCTACTTAAAGGGACTATCCAACAAGAAGATCTAACAATTGTAAATATCTATGCCCCGAACATGGGAGCAGCCAATTATATAAGCCAATTAATAACAAAAGCAAAGAAACACATTGACAACAATACAATAATAGTGGGGGACTTTAACACCCCCCTCACTGAAATGGACAGATCATCTAAGCAAAAGATCAACAAGGAAATAAAGACTTTACATGAAACACTGGACCAAATGGACTTCACAGACATATTCAGAACATTCCATCCCAAAGCAACGGAATACACATTCTTCTCTAGTGCCCATGGAACATTCTCCAGAACTGATCACATCCTAGGTCACAAATCAGGTCTCAACCGATACCAAAAGACTGGGATCATTCCCTGCATATTTTCAGACCACAATGCTTTGAAACTAGAACTCAATCACAAGAGGAAAGTCGGAAATAACTCAAATACATGGAGGCTAAAGAGCATCCTACTAAAGAATGAATGGGTCAACCAGGAAATTAAAGAAGAATTTAAAAATTCATGGAAACCAATGAAAATGAAAACACAACTGTTCAAAATCTTTGGGACACAGCAAAGGCGGTCCTGAGAGGAAAGTATATAGCAATACAAGCCTTTCTCAAGAAACAAGAAAGGTCTCAAATACACAACCTAACCCTACACCTAAAGGAGCTGGAGAAAGAACAGCAAATAAAGCCTAAACCCAGCAGGAGAAGAGAAATCATAAAGATCAGAGCAGAAATCAATGAACTAGAAACCAAAAGAAGCGTAGAACAGATCAACGAAACTAGGAACTGGTTATTTGAAAGAATTAACAAGATTGATAAACCCCTGGCCAGACTTATCAAAAAGAAAAGAGAAATGACCCAAATCAACAAAATCATGAATGAAAGAGGAGAGATCACAACCAACACCAAAGAAATACAAACAATTATAAGAACATATTATGAGCAACTCTATGCCAATTAGATAACCTGGAAGAAATGGGTGCATTCCTAGAGATATATCAACTACCAAAATTAAACCAGGAAGAAATAGAAAACCTGAACAGACATATAACCACTAAGGAAATTGAAGCAGTCATCAAAAATCTCCCAACAAACAAAAGCCCAGGGCCAGATGGCTTCCCAGGGGAATTCTATCAGACATTTCAAGAAGAATTAATACCTAGTCTCCTGAAACTCTTCCAATTACCTTGATCCTAAAACCAGACAAAGACCCCATCGAAAAGGAGAATTACAGACCAATATCCTTGATGAACATGGATGCAAAAATTCTCACCAAAATACTAGCCAATAGGATCCAACAGCACATTAAAAGGATTATTCACCACGATCAAGTGGGATTTATCCCTGGGCTGCAAGGTTTGTTCAACATCCGCAAATCAATCAACGTGATACAATACATTAACAAAAGAAAGAACAAGAATCATATGATCCTCTCAATAGATGCAGAAAAAGCATTTGACAAAGTACAGCATCCTTTCTTGATCAAAACTCTTCAGAGTATAGGGATAGAGGGTACATACCTCAATATCATAAAAGCCATCTATGAAAAACCTACAGCAAATATCATTCTCAATGGGGAAAAGTTGAGAGCTTTTCCCCGAAGGTCAGGAACGCGGCAGGGATGTCCACTCTCACCACTGCTATTCAACATAGTATTAGAAGTCCTAGCCACAGCAATCAGACAACAAAAAGAAATCAAAGGCATCCAGATCGGCAAAGAGGAAGTCAAACTCTCACTCTTTGCAGATGATATGATACTGTATGTGGAAAATCCAAAAGACTCCACCCCAAAACTGCTAGAACTCATACAGGAATTCAGTAAATAGCAGGATATAAAATCAATGCACAGAAATCAGTGGCATTCCCATACACCAAGAACAAGACAGAAGAGAGACAAATCAAGGAGTCGATCCCATTTACAACTGCACCCAAAACCATAAGATACCTAGGAATAAATCTAACCAAAGAGGCAAAGGATCTGTACTCAGAAAACTATAAAATACTCATGAAAGAAACTGAAGAAGACACAAAGAAAGGGAAAAACGTTCCATGCTCATGGATTGGAAGAACCAATATTGTGAAGATGTCCATGCTACCTAGAGCAATCTACACATTCAATGCAATTCCCATCAAAATACCACCCACTTTTTTCAAAGAAATGGAACAAATAATCCTAAAATTTGTATGGAACCAGAAGAGACCCCGAATAGCCAGAGGAATATTGAAAAAGAAAAGCAAAGCTGGCGGCATCACAATTCCGGACTTCCAGCTCTATTACAAAGCTGTCATCATCAAGACAGTATGGTACTGGTGCAAAAACAGACACATAGATCAATGGAACAGAACTGGGAGCCCAGAAATGGACCCTCAACTCTATGGTCAACTCATCTTTGACAAAGCAGGAAAGAATGTCCAATGGCAAAAAGACAGTCTCTTCCACAAATGGTGTTGGGAAAATTGGACAGCCACATGCAAAAGAATGAAACTGGACCATTTCCCTACACCACACACAAAAATAGATTCCAAATGGTTGAAAGACCTAAACGTGAGACAGGAGTCCATCCAAATCCTAAAGGAGAACACAGGCAGCAACCTCTTCGACCTCAGCCGCAGCAACTTCTTCCTAGAGACATCGCCAAAGGCAAGGGAAGCGAGGGCAAAAATGAACTATTGGGATTTCATCAAGATAAAGAGTTTTTGCACAGCAAAAGAAACAGTCCACAAAACCAAAAGACAACCGACAGAACGGGAGAAGATATTTGCAAATGACATATCAGATAAAGGGCTAGTGTCCAAAATCTATAAAGAACTTATCAAACTTAACACCCAAAGAACAAATAATCCAATCAAGAGATGGGCAGAAGACATGAACAGACATTTTTCCAAAGAAGACATCCAAATGGCCAGCAGACACATGAAAAAGTGCTCAACATCGCTCGGCATCAGGGAAATCCAAATCAAAACCTCCATGAGATACCACCTCACACCAGTCAGAATGGCTAAAATGAACAAGTCAGGAAACGACAGATGTTGGCGGGGATGTGGAGAAAGGGGAACCCTCCTACACTGTTGGTGGGAATGCAAGCTGGTGCAACCACTCTGGAAAACAGTATGGAGGTTCCTCAAAAAGTTGAAAATAGAGCTACCATTGGATCCAGCCATTGCACTACTGGGTATTTACCCCAAAGATACAAATGTAGGGATCCGAAGGGGTACGTGCACCCCAATGTTTATAGCAGCAATGTCCACAATAGCCAAACTGTGGAAAGAGCCAAGATGTCCATCGACAGATGAATAGATAAAGAAGATGTGATATATATACACAATGGAATATTATGCAGCCATCAAAAGGAATGAGATCTTGCCATTTGCAACGACGTGGATGG